AAAATTCCTGCAAATTTTTCACTTTTTGTATATGGCTTAGCCTCCACAATTGCATGCCGGATCGTCCGACACATTTGAGAGGATGTACCCTTAGTAGTTGGTCGACGTACCTTCAAATCCTTCATATTTTCCCAGGAAAATTAGGAAAAGGTAGGTACATCCCAGAGAACTCAACATTCAGGTCAACTTTTAGGGGTTGCAGGAATATCCTGTCACTAGCAGGTACAACTTTCTTATACAGACAAGGTAACCTCGATAATTCAAACTCGGTTCGGAAATTATTACTTTTCTCTTGACACGTTGATTGACATAAATTATTTTTTACTTTTATCAGGATTAATAATTCTCACTAGAAACTCCGTACCTGTCCAATATTCCGTGCATACACACGTGCCATTATAACGAATGCCACCATTACCACAGCCTAGATCTGAAAATGGGCAGCTGATAAAGTGTGTAGATTCAAGTTGTTATTGTTTGAATAACTGCTGTTTTTAACGGCCCGCAGTTACCGCGATCGCTTTGTCAGAACTTGTTAAAAGGCTACAGCCTTGCGGTTCACCGCCGATATCGGCTAACCGGCTCGACAGCTGAACGTGTGAGTGCTCGAAGGCAATGGCACAAATAGCCATTGAGCTGAGTTGGCAGGAGTGGCCCCGGTAGCGTAATAGGGAACGCAACCGCCCGGTAAGCGGAAGAATGTCGGGTAGTTCCTGTTATTCCCGTCCGTGGTCTGGCTTTTGCCCATAACTCAGCATTCTTGTGAAAGTGTGTAGATTTTTATGCACCGTGGTTTTCGCCAGGAGCTGAGGTGTGCCAAGGGGGGGGGTTGGATTTCGCGCGACGACAGCGACCATAGTCCACCAACTGCTGAAGCTGGCAAGCGACAACAAATGGTGAAAAAGGGGTTGGCTCGGTGGCAGACCCAGCCTCCTACCTTGCTCTAGTATTCACAGCGCCTTTACTATGTTCCAGCTAGCGAAAACCTTATATACATATAACGCACAATTGTGGTACTTCCGAAACTCCTCCTGTATATTTACTATTAGGTTGTCGCATAAGTTCTTACACGACTTTTTTCGTAAATATCTCAATAGCGAACCAACCTGAAGATTAGAGGTATGCATCATCACCATCCACTACTCGACGCCAGCGCTCAGGCAGCTTGTCGATTCCTTCCTTCCAGAACGACGGGGGTGGGACTTGAAGAAGAGGAGTGCCTTTCTGACCTGATCCTTTGTTTCGAACTTTTTTCCGTCCAGATAGCGCTGCAGGTGGCTGAACAGCCAGTAGTCAGAAGGAGCGAGGTCAGGGCTGTAGGGAGGGTGGGCGACCATCAGCCATCCGTACTTCTCCAGCTCGGCCTGGGTCGCCTTTGCAGTGTGAGGTCGGGCGTTGTCATGGTGGAAGTAGATTTCCGCATTCCTTCCACGAGTACGGTCGACGTGTGATCTATTTCAGATTTCCGCAGCAGGCCACGTATATGGGGGAAGGCATCAATCGTCTGTCCCTTCTCCAGCAGCTCCCAGGCCGAGCTCCCCAGAACTCCATGCCTCTTCTGGACCACCAACAGAACAGGGGAACCATTTTGGTGTGAAGGTCGACCTTTGAGGTGGCTTCTGGCTATCTCCTTTTGTCGATCCACTCCTGCTCCCCTCAGCAAGGTTATGCTTAAGATGGACGCGATCCATCTCCAGTGATCATCGAGTTGAGAACGCGAAGCTTCTTTTGTGAATCGTTAAGCAAACCAGGCAGTGGCGCAGGTACATTCTGTCACAGTGGTAATTGTGCGACATTGTGTACTGCAAATGCAAGCTCGGTGAGTGATAGCTAGTGTAATGAAAGAGTATAATGTACACGTCACGCACACGTGATGACGTAATACCAACATCCATGCGAACGAAAATAGGAGAGGAAACACGTGTATAAGACTTAGTGGCGACAACGCTAATATGTTGCTTGTTTTTTAGGTGCTGTGAAAGTGCTGTGAGACTTCTCAATGTATTATGAAGTTATGCACTTACTCCCACTATTACACTATTACACAGTACTTTCAGAGTACGCATCCACTTACTCCGCTCCCGAGAATGTGCAACTTCCAACAGATATTTTGTATTTGAGGAGAATAACTGTGGAGAATGAGCAATACCTACCTGCTTGGTTACAATGAGCAAGCGTCACTCTTTGGAACATGTTGCCGAACTCGTCTTCACCAATATGCTGAAATTGTACACATAGTATAAAGATTCTACACTGCAAATCATGAACATAGAGATATCTTGGATTTTTGCTATTCGAAACCGTGCCTATGGAAAAACGCCAGGGATACTCAGCGTGAATTTGACAAAATTTGGCCATTAACTAATCTTCTCTCAGTCAATTCGGAATGCTTTTTGGGAGCAACTTATCGCCGTATATAGGCCCACCTCCATGAAATTTCCATTTCTTAGCTTTCTATTCCGCACACTCTAAGTACATGAGTACAATATTTGCGGAGGATGGGACGTGCTAGTGGAGATGGGTTTGGCGGGCCGCCAGCCCGTTCTCCACTGATTGTTGAAGCGTGAGTGACAACACCTGGTGGAAAATGACTGATGCGAACGAAATACAGTCCAAAAAAAGATGGGCGCAGCGCCACGTTCACCGCCGACGCGCCCCATAATGCGCAGCGAACGAGACCGTTGGTCTGAACATCCGCAAAATGCCTTGGGATGAGATGAAAGAAGTGAAGGGAGCAGAAAGCTGCTAATGAGAATCAACTGATGTAGCTTCATCATTACAAGGCGATGTTTCTGTTGTGCTAATACGTTCATATGTTGAAAAAGGCATTCAGTTGGTAAGGTCTTAGTCTCTCTTCAAGCAGCCCACTTGGCAGGTAGAGCTGAGCAGGAAGTGGGCGAAGAGAGCGTTTGAAAAGGGAACACAGATACCGCTGCCACAATTCGGTTCTGAGACGCCCTCGCTTAAGCCTGGAATCAGTAGTGGCTTTGGAATGGCATTCATGCGTTTTTGCACACATCGACCAGCGTGGGTGCTCTTCACTGACCATTGTAAGAAAACCAGGGAACTGTTTAGGAGCCAAGTTCTGCCTTTCTTTTGTTATCACACTCTTCTTCGATTTTTCTAAAAGGCCTAGCAAGGTGAGAGAGTCATCCGGACTCTTGCGTCCAGCAGAGACGAACTGGAGACCACTTCCGGAAGTTCGCCGGAAGAATTCATTGTCACGGGCGAACAGGCGGTATAGTTCTTACTGAACAGTTGCATTTCGCCTGGATCCCTGCAAATGATTAGGTATGTGGCAGGGCGTAGATTGGTGCACTGTCAAGGCGACCATTGATGCGTCTTGAGCCTGCAACGATTGGCGAGGAGAGGTGTCTCGCTGCCCTCTAGTTCACGCCCCTTTCACACGCCCTCGTTTGCAGAAACCGCGATATCAGGACACTAACGGTGTCATAATAGTGGTGAGAATTTCATAAGAAAATCTTCAAGGGTGTTCCTTACCGCAATATGAAACTCGTTGGCATCAATTCTGAAGCGATTCGGACAGTTGTAACTTTTCGTCTCGTGACCCACGTGGAACGAGCAACTCCGGCACGTACTTGCGTATGCTTGCCAGCATTGTAGAGACGTTGCTGAAAAACTACTGTTTTTCTTCAGGGGTCACGCCGAACAAGCAGTCGATGTGAGGAGGAAGGTAGAATCAGCACTAGAGTGGGCTCCTGGCCACATCTCCATCACTTAAGTACAATACAATTTCAGTGCCAAATACTTCATTCTGCTTCATACAAATAAATGCATACCGTTGTAAGCGTCATATAGCAGCGAATGGGTTAGTATAGGCGTACGATGCTCGTTGTCCGCAGAGTGAATATAAGTAATTATTCGGTTCGTCACTGAAAAGCATTAAAGTACAGCAACAAGGACTTTTTCCAGAAACCAAAGGAAGATGAGCCAGATTTTCGAAAAGACCTGCACGATTTTGAATTCCGACATCGCCCAAGATTAGGTACGTCCTGTGATTCTGCGAAAATGAGGAAGGCGTAGCTGAGTACGTCGTTTTAATGGCAAACTGTACACTCGTTTTACAACGGTTTTTGCCACGTTGGGGTGAATGGGTTTGCAACTGCAGAAGCGTGCCAATTCTTCTGCCTGAAAGTGCTGGGGAATGAGGCTGCAGACTCCACCCGCGTTAACATCAATTTGCAGCACTTGCGCCGATACGAAGCCCTCAGCGAGTACGCTGTTAGCGGTAGGAACAAAAAAATGAACAACTGTTTGAGTTCCTGGCTATGGTTAAGCGCGTGGTTGGCGGTGCGGCAGCGTGGGCGCAGTAGGGAGACGACGCGTGGGCATCACTACCTTCCAGCCCCGTTCACTTACACTTTTGAACGGAGAAAACGTGGCTGCTTATTTGCGGCTGGCAACCTTATTCCATCCTCCGTACATTTTCGGCAGAAAGAGCAGGACCCACCAATCCGTGTCCTGCGTTTCGCCTCAATTGAAACTGCTTTCTTCCCCTTTGCTGAATACAGTTCTCCGCAGTTTCGTCCCAGGAAAGGCGCATCCAAGATGAGGAAGACAAGTGTGCTTGGCTGTTCCGTCACTATGAAACGCATGGAATAAACTTTTTTCAAAAGCAAAGAGGACACATTCAAATAATGGTCCGTGTAGCGTACTGTTACAAAAGCTGCGCACTAAGGAAATCGTTGGCTAACAGAATAGTTGGTGCCACTCCGCAACGCTAAGGGACGCAGGTCGAAGCTCCTATCTGCTTCTAGCTTTTGTATGCGGGCTCAGACTAGTAGCGTGACACTCTAGAGCGAGGGTCTCAGTATAATCCCCTTTCATAGCCTACCTACCATCTAACCAGATTTTTCTAAATTTTCACTATCGAATGGAGAAGGGGTCTCACTTCAGACCAACTATAATAGACAGCGATTCTGTTGTGAAACGAGGAACCGAGATGTCCGAAACGACAATCGGAAACATTATCTCGAGACCAAAGATGATCTTCCCCAGCGACCAAATACATAAAACTGCCTCTAATAGCTGGTGTAAGTACATTGCTCTTACCTTTTCAAATTATGAAGTTTTCTGGAACGAAATGAGTTCATAGACCCTAAGAAACTTTGACAAGCAAGACGATGACACTCACCTGAGTCAGCGATCGGATCAAGGTACGGGTAGTCCGAGGCCACATCAGTAGTGAAACCGACGATTATCTGTAGACTGCTCTGAACTTGCACATTCACCGAACAAATCTCTGGTTGTCCAGCTGATGGGTTCACAGAAACGCTCATACTCCATTTTCCAGCTGGTACGTCGTCTAGAAAGTTATTTTTCAAGCAAATTCGAATCTGCTCGAAACTCTTGCGTCCTAGAGAAAAAAGAAAACACACAAAACGCAATGTCCACACTAGACGTATTGGCAGATGGGCATTTGCTGAAGATTGGGGCTATGTGGAAAAAAATTACAAATTCCAGCAAAGACGCTCAGCTGACTGCAAGTTGTACGTATTCCCCACATGAGCAGCCACCCGCCACTTCATCGTGCATGTACGCAGCTTGATGAGATCTTCCCGGGCGCTGTACGGCTCCTTAGAGTAGGGGAAGTGGCATGTTGCACTTTGGCTGGTCTTTTTCGGCCTAAATTCTGCTGATTCACAAGTTCTACCTTGATAAGGGCTGTAGACTGTTGTCAGCTATGACAAAACTCATGCAAATGCACAGATTTACAGGAACTAGCATGTCTACACAGTAGGCATTGGCAGTGAACGATAAGAACTGGTAGAGTGCCCTCACCTAGCCGAACTGCACTGCTT